CCCCCCCCCCTCCCCCCCCCCCCCTCTGTCTTTCTCTCTCTATGTGAATATGAAGAAAGTCGCTTATCTATTTCTTCCTGAAAGTTATATTTAATGTAAAAATTATAAAAATGTAATTTTTGTTACAGAAAATGAAATGAAATCTGAGCGTTTATTCAGAGATGAAATCCTAAGGAAACGGAATCTACTATCATGATGGAACCACCACTTACGAGCAAGGTTCTCCGGGCCCCTAATTTAAAGAGAGGTCAAGAGAACATTAGAATACAGAATAGAGTAAGTGATGATAATGATATACTTATATCATATACATCTTATACACTACGGAAATTAATATTCACATGTATTTGAATATATACAGGATAATATTAATAAGAAAAACTGTTGCGATTTGTTGGACATCAAGAATTTTTCTGATAAATGCCGGGTGAATTTTGCATTACGACAATGCAGAAAAATTAAATTGGCACATGATTTCCTGTTTTCTCCGATGTAAATCTAGAGCATTTAATTTTATAAAATATTTTTTTTCTATTTTTTGATACATTTCGCAAATATTTCGACCTGATTGATTTTATACCCCGCTGATTCTTCGAAAACTACTTCCTATCAATCTCAAGAGTAAAGTATCTTTCAAAAACTGAAACTTTGCTAGCTTAATAGAGGTAATATTTCGTGCATAAACAAGTTATATTATTACTTCGCATTCGTAACACTTGCATCTTGCATTCCACTTTTGATCATTTGCAGTCTTATAACTTTCCTGGTGCAAGAAATTCTACTATTTTAAATTCTCTTGTTTGTATTTGTACATTTTCCAGAAATGTATTATAATTGAGTGTATATGTGATGATATCAAAAGTTTTTGTTCAAAAGAATATTACTTTAATATATTTCAATATATATTTTTTATTGATTAAACCTGCTTTTGCTACAAAAGTTATGATACCAGAAAATTGCGTGAATTGAAAATAAAAATTATGTATATTCAGGCACAGTTGAAATTATTCCTTGATTTACATCAATTTATTATCTATAGAGAATTGCATGATTTTAAATGGAATATGAGACTTCCGTTTCCGGTTGCAAGTGTGACAAGAACGAGAAATTGTGAGTGTGAATCGAGAGGCTTTTAGTAGAGAAAGATTGGAAAACCAAAAGAAAAGATAAGTGAGAGAATAAAAGAAGGAAGTGTGTCTAAAAGAGGAAAAAGGAGGAAACGTGAAAAGAACAAGAGAGCGAAGCACAAGGGTTAGACAGGAGAAGGTTAGAAAAGCGATAGAAGGGAATGGGAGTTGGGAAATGCAGTAGGCATAGCAAGTGTAGTGGGGCTAATGGAACGGTGAATTAAAAAAGATAGGGGGGTGCGACAGGGAAATTTAGAATCGGTAGGATATAGAAGGAAAACAATAAGTGTGAAGTATAAAGAGAGATGTCTATATTCCTTTCGAGCTAGCCTTTCCTTGCAAAACTAAAAAAATACATAGCACACAATTATGAGCTATTTATAAACTTTCAAACCCGCAAATCTTAAAAATTTTGAACTCGTCGCATTGGGCAGGAATTTAATACTTTCTGTATTATTCTGTATTATCTTCTGGAAAAGGGTATTACAAAAAAAATTTTATATAAATTTTATTTTTAATCGAAAGTATAAATTATAAAAACATTATTTCCAAACTTTTAAGATTTTCCACCAACAATAAATAATTTAAAATTAATAAAAAAAGATGATTAAAATTTAAAATTTTCACGTAACTTGAAAACGCTTCGTTATTGGTTAGTTCGTGACGTTAGTTCGTTACTAAAACTTCGACTTAGTACAGGGAACAAGAATATTATTTACGGTTTTACTTTTTTTAAAGAAAAGTAGTAGAGACAAATAATAGAGACAAATCAATTAGTAAAAAAAAATAATTGTTTTTAAGAAAAAGTGTAATTATTTATAATGTATTTTTTTAAACAATTATTTGTTTTTTTCTTTACACTAATTGATTTGTCTCATTATTCTGTACATAAAAGTATTACGGTAAGATTATCGAAAACTAAATATTTTACGAAATATTTTATTTTTTATATCAAAATATGTCAGATTAAAATATAAAATAACTCAAAAAGTACTTAATGAAAAAATACTTTATTATAGTGTTTTGGAAAGCTCTCGAGGTAAGCTACAAGAATATGTAATGAGAAATAGGGGATTCCATTTAAAAAAATGAAGATGACTTTCAAATCTCCTAAGCGGCTCCACCTAAAAAAAATGTTCACTTCCACAAGATTTCACCCTCAATACCATACAANTATATATAATAGAAAAAAATCAGAGGGGGCCCGATCTGACCTCCTCCGATTTTTTTATATTCCCCAAGATCAAGAAAGACATGAAGGATCATCATTAGAAGTCACGAGCGGAGGTGGAATAGTTGATGCGTGTTCTAAACAGCCTCACGGAGAATGTTTTTGAAAACTGTTTCCTGCAATAGAAAACACATTGGACCAAGTGCATTGCTTTAGGAAGGAACTATTTTAAAGGGGACTGTGTATTAAATAACGAATAAGTGTGTTCTGTAATTGTAATAAATATTTTCTACGAACTTAATTGTCAGTCCTCGTATATATTGTATAATGAGACAATTTTTTTTTATCATTAAGAGTTCCACAAAAATAAAAATGCTTGCGCAATAATAATTTTATTTTGTGCCCGTGTGTTAACGAAGGGCTGTTTTGGGATTTTGTACGCCCAAAAAATTGGGACCCAAGCACATTGTAAGTAAAGACACTTTCACTTTTTTGTGGAAGAAACGTATATCTGTGGTAACTTGGTTACACTGTATACATATCTTCACGATTAATTTTTGAGTGCGATAACTTATTGTTAATAATAGACTTTCGGAAACGAGCCTCGGTTCATCTCGCGATTGACTTACTTATCAATTAGGGGAGAAATTAGGAAGAAAGGAGTGTGATGATTCGACCGAAGCACTCCGCTACTATCGTACTCCGCTTCTTTAGTCTTTCTCTTTTGCTGCTTAGCTTCCTAAAACTTGACTGTAACTTGCTTTTCCCTAGTTACATCTTACTTCATACTTTCTACTATTATATCTTTCCTTCTATCTTTTCAATATCTTGTGTAATATTTTTTTATTAATGTAATATTTCTTAATTTGTTGTAACTTCTGATTTTTTAATTTATTTTTCCTGCTAAATATTTAATTTCGTAACTTTCTTAATCTTCTCTTTCTTAATCCTTCTCTACTTTTATTGTTTAATATTAAGAAATTGGTTGGATTACGACAATTCGTAGATAATTTTTTTTCAAGTACATATCCAAGAGATGTATATTCGAAATATACACATGTGGAATGAAAAAGTACAGTAACTGTAACAGCTTATTAGTGTGGCATGAAGATAATCGTGTAATCATGAAAGAGAGTGGGGATCACATATAGTCAAATGGTAGAACTTCTGGATTGGAATACCTCAGTATAGAATTGGACGTTCGTTGTCGCTCTTCTAAGTTCTTGTTTTACATTCTTTTTTCTTGTTTCTTATTTTGGGAATACAGACGCGGAAATTCTCTTGTCATTATATAAAATTGAAAATTGACGATAAGTGTCGAATTTTTTTAGGTAAATTGTATTCTCATTCTCATGGAGATACAAAAAATGCATTGAAGATATGAAAACCGGCTGCTGATTGATGGAATTGATAAATGTATTTCAAGTTTACGCTAATAAAGTTTTGATTTGACTGTAGTAAATAACTTTGTAAATATAGAAAAACAAATGTTCGCTGTGAAAATTAGAGCCATATAAGGGAAAAATAATTTTTATCCGATTGTCAATACGTAGTCAATATGTAGTAGAGTTGAATATTCTTCATTCGTAGGCCATTCATGGTTTGCTTATATAAGACCGGAGGGACGACTGGTAAAACCAAGTGATTTTTTTAATAATGAGTTTATGTGAACGATTTATATGGACAAGCTTTATACATGTCCGTAATAAACGTCGATAGCGTGTTGTTTTTATTGAACGTTTTTATTTTGCGAAGAACTGTTTTTTCAAATCAAAGTGTGCACTCTTATATACATATATGTTGTAGCCAGATTATAAAATCCGTCGTTTTATAAAACGTTTAGGCATTTTATAAAGTGCGGCTACATTCTCAAATCATGGTTGAAAATGAAATATTTTACAATCTGGCTAAAAATTTTAGTCTTTTTATAAATCGCTAATAAGCGACCCGCCACATTGTCAAACGCAATGATTTGCACATCATTTTAGATTCTGGCTAATTTATTTCTTAGCCAGATTGTAAAACATTTCATTTTCAACCATGATTTGAGAATGTGATCGTATTTTATAAAATACTTAGACGTTTTATAAAACGACAGATTTTCTAATCTGACCTGTATGTATATATATGTGTGTATATGTATATATACATATGTATGTCTGTCTATGCTGTCTATGTATGTATGGAATTATAAATATAAGCATAAATATAAGCTTGGGTAACATTTATATGTATTGTCACGTCCTAAAACTTCGATTGACTTAGTGAAACGAGAAGTTCCAATGATCTCGTTGAGTTTTGCAGAACGTTTAAGTATCGGGTTTTTCTTGCAATTAAGGAGGTAAAACCCCAGGAGGACTAAGCAGTTGCTTAAGGGCCGTCTACAATGGAAGTAGGCAGAGTGTACAGAGTGAGCAGTATGGTTCTTGAACTTATTTCATTTCTGTCTACAATGGCGGAATAATACGAATAATAATCAATCAATCAGCGAACAGATATTTACAGAACTCTAGCAGCTAGCAGAAAACAGCGATTAAGTGTGCGAGGTTATGAACACGCGTTTTTCATTGGCTGACAGTAAGGCAGTAGGGAGTGCGAAATGAGAACTGCCCATTTCGTTACTCCCGATTTTTATCCTACCGAAAACACTCTCTACTTCTACAGTCTTACTACTTTCATTATAGACGGCCCTTCAGATCTTGGTTTTCCGATGTGGATAAGGATGAAGAAGTATGTCGACGTTAAAATTTTAAATTTAAACTCTTTGTTCCGTATTAGGTTGATCCGGCAAGAATTAATCAGAATATTCTTATTCTCTCTCTCTAAATACTCTTAAAATGACGCTTTTTATAATTATGTAATAGTATATTCGAGTATAACAGCATGTCTTTTACAATGAAGTGTGTTTTACAAGGGAGTGCAATTTCTTACAATATGTAGATTTATACATGTTTCGTAAATTAAGTAATAGCAGCTAA